TATATATATATATATAGTATGAACTGTTATTTAGAGTTGATTAATGATAGTTATTAAAAATATTTATTTTTAAAAAAATTAGGGGTATAATTATTCACAATTGTGGAAAAAAAAATGGTTAAAAAAAATATTTCCTTTCTCTATCAATATAAATATAAATAAATTATTAATAAATTATTTGATTTTCAAAATATTTTGATTAATAAATAATAATAACATATAATTATGCTAATTTTGACTTGAGCAAGACTTCTTAGAATAATTTTATTTAAGTTATATTAATAAATAATTTTTTATTAAATTAAAATATAAAATGTTTCGAAATAATTTTTATTGAAGGACAGCATCCAAAATTATGATTCTAAAAATTATAATTTTCTTAAAAGTATCCAACTAAATCTTGTCCATTTGGAATTAGGCTATATATAATGTAGGTTGGAACTTAAAGTAGAAGTAGTGATGGGAGGAACAGTGACGGAGGTCAACTTGCTCGAGCCTCTTCCTTCCTCGCCGTGACTCTCACCGCTGTGATCATGTTCAGGTTCTTTCTCTTTCTCTCTCGCTTCTGCTTTTGATTGGTGATATGTTGATAATTGAGATGAGATTCCACACATCGAGAGAAAAAAAATGCTATTCTATCTATTTCTATTTATATACTACTTTCAAGTAATATGATACTCAGGTTAGAAACAACAAATTTACATTACATGTCAAATGTCAATGCTTGCTTCATCTGATAATCACGGGCTTTTATGGGGGAAAGTCTGCGAGATTTTGATTTCGTGATTAAGCTTTGGTTCATGTTTTTGGCCTCAATACCTATATACTAATGATTGGATGGATCTGCTCTTGGGATGTGGCCTAGGGTTTCCACAGCCAAATTAGGCAACTTACAAATTAAAATAAAAAAGATAAAATCTTAATCTTCCTGTCGTGGCCAGACACCACTTCATATATCGTAGGAACCCTAAATAAAATCAACTAAAGTCGCCATAGTAATCATATTTGCAATAGTCGAAACAGAAACCCAAATTTAACTATATTTGACCCCATTAGTCCTGCTTATTCTCGTCTCATCTTTTGAGACTTTCATAGTTTATAGAATACAGAGGTTATCTCCCTATTCCTCATGCTGGTATCCTTGTCTGAGCCGGTAAACTTCTGGATTGCTATTTTGGATGCTGTTAATCTAAAACCAACATGCATATATTCCTTAAAAGCGTGTGGAATTTTCATGATTAGTTTTATTTTTAATACAGTGAATGCATATATTTACTTAAATAGAAATGTTAGCAACACACTTTCTTAAACACACTCTCTCTACTATTTACTAAAGTTTATTGAAAATCACAAAACATTGTGGGTCTCACGTCTCATTTAATGAGTTTCACTTATGATTTGTAATTTTCAATAAATTTTAAACAATTGTAGAGAGTGTGTTAGAAGAAGTATGTTGTTAGCACTCCTCTAATGTTGTCTTTTTATTGATATTAACTCTTACATTAAAACAGTTTGGTAATAAGATACACACAAGGTAGAAATATTTTAACCAACTGTACTGAAATTTGTTAGTTTGAAAAAAGAAGAAAATAAAATCTGTGTAGTAACTTGTGAGTGTGAAAGATATCAATTTCAGACAACATAAATAAGAAACTATATATATTAAGAAAAAAAATCTAATTGCATGTGCTTCTAAGCAATTTAGTTATCTTCCAATTACAGTATTATCATAACAACTATGGACAACAATTCTTACCTTTTGTTTGCTAGATGTCAAGTACTCCATGAGCATCCCATACTACTCGATGTGGGACTTAAGCATCTCATAATACCTAAGTCCCTATTATAACACCACCCTTGAGAGCCGACATCCTGGTGGCTGTACTATACAATGTTTCACTCAACCTTTTTGGTCAGCCCTTTTGGGTTAGCCTTTTCAAGACATAAACAACCAGCTCTGATACCAGTTTTTTGATAAGCACTCAAGTACTTGGGGTACCCTCCTTCAAAGTTGACTGTCCGGAGGGGAAGAGAAAACCAAGCCACTTAAGTACTCCGCCAGGCATCTCATGCTAGTCGATGTGGGACTTAGGCACCCCATAATACCTAAGTCCCCTATCACTAACATACATCATATATACTTATTTTTTTCTTTTAAGATAGAGGGAACATGTAACCCTGAATTAAGTGAATAAATGAAACACACTTGGAACTTCAATAATTTCAGAGAGAAAAAAAAAAAAAAAGAAGTAAAAAACTCATATGCTCTTGGCTCCTCTAAAGATATAGTTGAAGAACTAGAGAGAGATAAATATAGTTGAAGGGCAAGGTGCCTCTTAAGTAAGCAAGTTAAGGTGTATCCACCATTCTTTTACATCAAAGTGCATCCTACTTTTTATGCATTAAGTCAAGGGTGGATAGACCTCTACTTGCTCACTTCAGAGACAATTCACTTTAGAAGAACATTTTCCACTGCAGAATTAGTCTTCTTTGGTTATCTGAAATAATTGCCCCTGTAATAAATTAATAATCAGGAGGAAACTTGGATGTTGAAGGGGATTGTATGCAAACTTGAAGAAAGTTTTATATAAAGACTGAAGCTGCCAACCTAGATCAGGAGAATAACACTATTACCCATTAGGTATGCGAGGAATGGGCTCTTTTGAAAATGGAAACCGAAATATGGTGTATGCAGTGACAACATCCTCCCAAAAATATTTAAGAACATTCATATAAATTATGAAATGAAAAGGTTTGGTCTATCTCCATGAATGCTTTATTTTACCCACTCCATCAGATTGAGGTGTGACAGCAGGTTTGTACTACGCTTGTACATGACCTATATTAGATAAATAGGAGTCTAAGGTTAATTTTATATAACAATTATTCAAAGACCTACCAGTGGGATATTTTTCTTTTTCTCTTTTCCATCCAATCTCCAAATTTCAAACTGGTATAAGAGCGTACCATTCATTATGGACATTATTCACCATGAACAAAGTTCATAGTGGCATCCGCTGTAGAGTTTCCTTTGTGGTTGCAATAGTTAGAAGTTTGCTCCTCTTGTCTGTCTCCTCATGATCAAACTATTTCCCTATCCACACTGCTTTTGTATTCAGCAAATTTAGTGACTTCAAAAACCTTAAGCCTTTCTTCACTTATCCACGTGATCTCCAGACATGATGCCTGAACATCAATATCTAAAGCAGAAGGCATGTGACTCCTTTTTTTTGACAATTACAGGGCATGTGGTTTATCTTGAAAATTGACAAATGGGGACTTGTTTCCCAAAGCATCATATTTCCTTTGCTAAAAAATCCTAGGTGACTTTGGTTTCAATTGTTTTTTTAAAAATTTGAATTTAACTACTTTTTCTAGCAACTACATGCAACCTAATATTGTGGTTTTCAGGACAGCTGGAGATGATTCAACAAGGTATAGATTCTAAATTTGTGATTATAGTTTGGGCAATTGTAAAATGGACTTGCCTAATCGTGATAAACAACTGACTGTTGCTGTGAAGAAGACAGCATTGAGAGATCTGCAGAACGATAATAAAATGATTGTGCCAACCTCTGTTGGAAGCTCTTCATTTTTAAAGGATAAGGATCCTGGTACTGATTCTAATAGAGTTTCTGGCACCAAGAGACCTTTGTCTGACTACCCAGTAAACCACCATCTCCAACAATCTCCAAGCAATAATGCTGCAAATGGACATCTTGTGTATGTTCGTAGAAAATCAGAAGCAGAATTGGGCAAGGGCACTGCTTTTGAAAATCCAAGTATAAATGCTTTTTGTCCACATTCGAGGCAACTTTGTTGTGAAGAGGAGACTGCTCAACCAAAACCTCAGCCAAAGGAGACACCTAAGATAAAGGAACCAAAGGTTTCTTGTTTCCCAGCATTTGCACCTTTTCCTATGTCTTCTTCAATAAACTCATCTGGAAAGCCTTCAGTTCCTATTTCTCTAGGGAAATCTGCCATCAAGTTAGCACCAGTTGAGTCCAATTATGTGACAGCTTCTTCTGGCCCTAGCACTACTAGCATTGGTAATCCAAAGGGATTAAAAAATTACTGGGAGGAGCGATACCAACAATTGCAGATGTTTTTGAGGAAATTGGACCAATCAGACCAAGAGGAATATATCCAAAGTATGTTCAGGAACCATAAAATAATCCCTCAAATGCTTTCTTATAAAGTTCTTGATATTTTATATAGCTGATTTTGTCCTTTGGCAGTGCTTCGCTCCCTGTCTTCAGTTGAACTTAGCAAACATGCTGTTGAGTTAGAAAAGAGATCCATTCAGCTTTCATTAGAGGAAGGTAATGAAATTGTTATTTTGCATGTTTCCTTTCTTACAATCATGGAAATGAAATCTTATGATTATTCACTATCAATCATGCTTGTGGTAGTTCAATCAATGTAAGTCTTCGGATTGCTTTGATTGATGCTATGCTTGGGAAATCGATCATCTGTATTTGGTTCTCTTCCATCACTTGTTTATGCTTATCAGTTGGTTTCCTCTTTATTAACTTAATGCTTTATAGTTTATTCTCCTTCTCCTGATCTCGCCCCCAGCTATAGTTTATGCTTCAGGTTTTGGAGAGACTACTGTCAGAACTGTCATATTTTATCTTTTTTGCATATGCATGTTTTTTATTTATTTATTCATTTGAAAAAAAGAGTTTCAATATTACACTTCGCATATCATCCCTATGGTCACGAGTCTGGATGGTAGAATATGGAAATGATATATTTAGATTTTGTAAGAGTTGTAGCTGTCTGTCAGCATCCCCAACCTGCGTCCGTAATCATAAAAAAATACTTTCAGCAACTATTTGTGTTTTAGATTTAACAAACGGCATATATTTTGAGAAAACAGGAAGCTGATATTTTTTCCTCACATTTATCATGATGGCAGCTAAAGAATTACAGCGTGTTGCTGCTCTAAACGTCTTGGGTAAAACAATGAAGAACTTCAAAGCGCCAGCAGATCATGATGAATGTTCAGACAAGTTGAAGACATCATTATGATCTTCCCCATTTGGGCTGCAGTGGAAAATTTCTGATTGTTAATTTTGCTTAGTGTTTATGCTGATTGTTTTATAATCCTCTGGTTGTCCAGTTGACTAAGAAAGTATGTAGCACCTCCTTGTTCATGAAAATCAAAAGCGGGGATTTATTGCCACTTATGCTTCTTGTACAGTTTAGATATCCTTGTTTCTTTCTGCTCATCCTTGCAATGCAGGTCACATATTCTGGAATGAATCTAATCCATAAATTTAGTGAGAGGAGAAATAAAAAGTTGTAGGTTAGGTTAGCCCATTTCAGACGTATTTTTATTTTTGGTACGAAGTACCTGCTTATTGGTCAACTTGGTCTAAGTTTTTGCAAGGGTCGAACAAGTCAAAAAGTGTGTAATGGGTTGTTGTTTTGCGCATTTTTGTCTAGTCAAATACTAATGTAATCAAGTGAAGAATACCTGAGCAGGTGGGGGAAGTGACTTCGGGGGACCAAAGGAACGCCAGTGAGGTGGGCGGGCATTGTTTCTTTTTTATCAGTTAGTGTAGAAAGTGATTTCTATTTTATATCGGCATGTTTTACATCCATTTTGTAATTGATGTAGAATCTATTTTTTTTAACTTGTGTAGGAGACTCTTCCAGTATGGTTATAAAATATTATCATATTGTCCAGTCGAGAGTAGTATACATTTACGCATTTTAGTTCTAGACTTTAAGGTTATGAATAATCTGATTCGGATGATTGAGATAAGAGATAAACATAATAGGCCCTTAAAGTCTTCAACTGACCTAGTCCTAATCTATGTAGTTGAACAAGTATTATGCAAATAGGTCTATCTATTTACAATTTTTATTAAAAAATACAATAAAGTTATACATAAGAATGTGGTGTTGCATTTTCAAAAAAAAAAAAAACTATTTTATAATTTCTTAACCAATGACTTTAAAGTATTTTCTACATAACCGACTGACATCAAAGATTAATCCTGAAAATTGCCAGTCACTACATCGATTTAATCGATTTAATCAAAGATGATGTAAAATAGTTTTATTTTTACCGGTGTATCATGGAATTTTCATCATTTTAATCGATTTTACTCCAAAATAGTTTTTAAACAAAAGGAAAAATATTATATGGTGGCTTAAAAGTGACGTAAAATGCATGATTGTAAACGTGGCACAATTAATCTTATCAACATTAAGAAACTTGTCCTAGTGCGTGAAGTTCTAAGATTGAGTATCCGATTTGATATATGATTGAGATGTATTTAGTTGTTCCCAGTGATTTTTCAAAAAAGAAAATTGTCGAAATATTGCAAAAAGGCAGGTGTTTTTTAAAATCAAATAATTAATACAAGTAGTGGGTCACATTATTAGGGAATTTAATTCAACTTAAACAAAAAGGCAGAAGAACATTACGCATGCATGTAGACCTGGTTTTCTTCATACTTGGTATAAATATAAATACAAATGCAATAATTAATCTCTATTGCATGTGTAATTTAGATTCATGAGTATCCACGGTGGACCCTTTCCCTTTTGCACTTGTTCTTGCAAAACTAAAATATGATTACAACGAAATAGGATAAGGATCGATCTATGTATCGCGTAGTTGCTCTATGACTCTATCGTCGTATCGCGTTCAGATAAAGCAAAATACCGTACATTAAAATTAATGGTGTGTTTGGATAAAAATTAAATTAAAATAATTTATTTATTTAAATTTTTTAAAATTTTTAAGGTGAAATATTTTGTTTGAATGAGGAATTTATAATGAATTTGAAATTCAAGTATTTGTGAAAATTTTTAAAATAGTAAAATTTCAAATTCTCTAAAAAAAATTAAGAATTTGAAATTTTTCATATTTGTTTTTCTTATTTTACCTATATATTTTATCTTATTTCTTTATTTTTTTAATTATTGAATATTTAAAAATATTTTAAAATTATTAAATATTATCTGATATTAATTTTAAAATTATTAAATATTTAAAAATTGATTAATAATTATTTTTATAAAATTTAATTTAAAAATCTCAACATATAAATATATTTTTAAAATTAATTTTACTTATCATATTCAATCTAACAATTTAAAATTTAAAAAATTTGAATTGACTTATCCAAATAAAATATTTTTAAAATAATAGAAATTAAAATCAAAGTAATTCAAATACCAAGAATTAAAAATTCCTTGAATTTGTCAAATTCTTCATCTAAACACACTATAAGGCTTCATTAGGGTTGAAATAGATAAAACTAAGTATAAACTATAAAAAGTATTTAAAATTTATTATTTAAATAGATAAAAATAAAAAGAAGGGAGCTAACAAATTCTCTCAATTTATTTGGATGAGTGAGAAATAGAGTGGAAAATAAATAAATTGTATGAAAAATATTTTTATACTAATTTTTTCTTTCTTTCAATTTTACCATTTTCAGAACAAAATTATTTATTATATTTTTAATAATGTGATAAAAATTGTTTTTAAGAAATAAAAAAATATTTACTCGCGCGTGCCAATTTAGGAAAGGAGGTTTTGTGGTGAGTTACGATTAAATTTGTATAGGCTTTAGTTATTACATATTTAAATATATCTCATGTAAGATGGAATTAGTTATGTAATATTGGTTAGATTTAATGTGATATAAAGATATTATTGTAACAATCGAAAGATTTAAATATGTTTTTAATCTTTTAAATACGAGACAAGTTTATTTTTTATTCCTCAAATTTTAAATCAATCTTTTTATTTTCTGTAATTTGAACAAAATCACTTATTTTGATCTCTTTGTCCAAACTTCAACAATGAATCTATAACATACATTTACTATTGTTCATAATAGTTAAAGCATCATATCAAACCTAATTGGTATTACACAACTAATTTAATTTATCTCTCTCAATGATGTTATAGGTACTCACTAGAGGGAAACAATATGTTTTTGAAATTATATGAACTAAAAGTAATAATTTTAAATTTATAGACCAAAAATAAAATTACTCCAAATTTAAGATACTAAAAACATATTTAAGATGAAATAAAAATTATAAATTTTAGTTATGCAATCATATATGAATAATAGGATTAAAAGTAAACTAGTAGTCATATGACTACTTATATGCATTTTATTTTATTTTAATCTTAATTGATCTTTTAAATATACTATAGTATTTATATTAATAATTATCATTTTTTCAATAAAAATTTCTCTCTCCTTATATAGGGAGAATATACTATAATAATGTCATTTTTATGTGAGAATTAGAATGTTCAATCTTCACCCTTAAATTAAAATAAATTGTTTAGATTAAAAAATTTACACATAAAGTTATCATGTATAGTCACTATCATACATAATTGTCTCTATTATTGTCATTGTTATTGTCATTATCATCACCACTACTGCCAATATTATTGTTGATGTCATTGTTGCCACCACTCCACCATCGTTGTTAATAGTGGTGATAATAATGGCAACGACAATAATAATGATAGTAATAATGGTAGTGATGATAATTGTAATGACAATAATGATGATGACAATAATAGAGACAATATATGTAATAATTTTGGTTGAGATTGAATATTTTCATTCTCATATAAGAAATATTAATTCAACACTTGAATAATTGAAATTTGATATAAAACATAATTTATTGATTGGAATAAGTCTAAGTAAACCTAGTCTTAAGTAGATATATACATACATACATATATATATATATATATATATATATATATATATATATATAATGAATAATAATGGCATATATATATATATATATATATATATATAATATAAGTGTTAATAGTCCGGGAGGGGAAAGGAAATTGCGGGATGTTAAAAGATATGAAAATCCAAAGCAAAGCGCAAGTGTATCTATGATTAAATTGGATATGAGAATCTTGTAACCATGCTTTACATTACACGAGCATATCAATTGCCGGCATGCTCCAACTTTAGTTTTTATTTGGTTTCCTCTTAGTCGGACATACTGCCATCCTATTGAAAGGTACATTTATCATTACTTAAATGTGTTAACAAATTTCATTTCCTTATGTCAAATCTATAATTTGTGGATCCTCGTATCCCTTGCTCTACATTGTGTAAAATTCAAATCAAGAATTTGAATGAAGAAAAACAACTCAAGGAAGAGACGCAAAGGAACCTTCCGACCTTCTTTCTATTATTTAATTTTAATTTATGAAATAAAGTATTAAATAATTTTAAACTTTGTATAAATCTATAGATTTTATTTCAATATATACTATAAGTTATTGAATATAGTAAATCAACTGTGATACCCGTTACTCACATAATACCAATAAGATATTCAAATGTAATTAATCACAATAGTCTGGAAGTTTCAAAGTATCGTTCACAAGGTTCACAATTTAATATCATATAAAAATGGAAGTATCAAAGTGTTCTCAGGATATAACATCCAAATGTCTAAATGTTTGTGGTAAAATTTGTTTATAGGTCCTTTTTACCTAAACTAGCAATACTTCAATTTAGGTATGTCTGATAAGTTTTCAGTTACAAATTAACAAATTGAATACGATTTAGAATGCAGAGATTTCCACATGCTCATTGATATGGATTACGAAATAAGTTTCATGCATATAGATCTTAAGATGAATTGAATGAACCGCACATATACTAATTACATAAATCATATCCTTTATTATCAACAAGATCAGAATTACAATACATAAGGATTATGATGCTTGACTGAACTACACTACGTGATGCTAAAAAAAAGAAATTAAAACTAAACTTAATCTATAAAGAAGAGAAAGTGGTCAAGAAACCGTACTCGGTAGCCTCGTACACAAGAGCCATATGCGTGGGCAGAGCGTTGAGATTTTGCAAGTATAATGTTTCTACCCTTTGGAAAGAGTTTACTTCGTCTATTTATAGAATTTCTATGGGAACGGTTAATTCTGCATAGGTTTAATGTGGTACGCATAACCGCTCCCCACGACATTACTCACGTAACTTCTCAACTGCTCTTAACCTCCGATAACCAACTTTTACTAGTCAACCTTCGCATATTCTCTTCGGTAACAGTTAATCTATACGTGCAAGTGAGTAACCTTCCTGAACCAACTTTAATCGCTAGTCACCTCTTATCATTTTTTCGACCCTTGAGTATGTCAATG